GGGATAGGCAGATACTTGAGGATCTAGAACCTTTAGTGCCCGATATAAAGGAAATTCTCGGGGATAAAGTTCTAGACCTCGCTGACATTAGAGGCCTCGAAGGTAGGGCCTTATTCCTTCAATTATCAAGTTATTCTCGATGATATGGTCGAGCTAATGAGTTGTATCTTTTTGCAGAAATGTCTTTCAATCCCTCAGCTCTTAGGAAATTTGTGAATGCCAAGGCCAAGGCACCTTAGCCTCAGTCCAATGTATTGACCAAAGGAAAAAAGAGACCCCGAGTCTCGAGGAGAGAGGAATAGCCAAGGGCCTGATGAAACTTCCTAACTAGGCAACATGAGCCGAGCCCTAGGCTGGTATGTCAACTGGCATAATCACCGAGGAAACTTTCTCCTGATGCACCCCCGAGGTCGTATACCTCGAGGACGACTGCATTCCTTCTGTAGCCTCGGTCATTGAGGACTTCGAGAGGTGCCACATTGTACTGTGCATAGTGGCCAAATATTGGGGAGACGTCAGGTTCGACGAGGGGATGAAAGCCCTTGAGTTTATGACTTTGAAGTTACAAATCCATACTTCGTTCGATATTTTTCTCATGTATTTTTCCCGACGTTCACACAAGCTCGTTCTTTTTTACAGACCCTGAGTTTTGCCCGAGGCTTCTCGTTGCAAGGGATGGACGAGTCTCATAAGATGGCCAAGCTTGTGGAAGTCGTGGAGCTTAGAGATAAAAATTTGTACGACTAGAAGGCCAAGCGTGAAGCCATCCTGAAAGAGGGTGATGAAGCGAGGAATGTTCTAAAGAAGGCTCAAGATGAAATTGGTATTGCAAAGGACGAGGTCGAGGAGGCTAAATTGGAGCTCGAGCGCATATGTAAAGAGCACAAAGCTAAGTTGGCTAAGGCTAGGGACGCTGGCTTGGGACGAGTTCAAGACGTCCAAGGAATGCGATAAACTGAAAGCTGAGTATGCTTCGGGGCATACCTCAACGCCTTCAAAGAAGCCAGAGCTTATCTTTGAGCAAACCTTCCCAATGTTCAGCCCGACGACTTGAAGGTCGTGCCTGGAATGGCAGAAACACTCCAGTTGTCTGAGTCTGAGGAAGCCACTAATAAGGATGATAAGGACGATGTCAAGAAGGACGATGCCGATGTGGACGTTTAGGCCTCTGCTCCTAATGACCTAGATTAGAAATTCCCACCCCGAGCACAGTTTTTTGATGTAATTTCTTTTTTTGATTAAGTACATTGCCCGAGCTTATGGGCTATCGTTTTTTATCTTTTGATCAAGTAAAATGCTCGACGCTTATTTTTGGCTTTGTGTTTCTCGATCTTTCTGTCGCTTATTATCTCAATGATCATGTTAGTTTCTGCACCCTGACCATATGGCCAAATCAATGCAATGAACCCGGTTAATAGACTAGCTTCATGGCTATCCTCGAACTTTATGGATGAGGTTTCGACAAAATTTTATTTTCGACGATTACATAACTAACGATAAATAGGCATGTCTTGGTGTCGATGACTATATGATGAATGATCTGACGACCAGATAATTAATTTTAAAGTATCAAGCTCGAAGACTACTTGATCAAATAAATTTTAAGTATGATCTCGATGATAATGTTATTACAATGGCTAGATGTGTAAGCTTTGTGATGAGCTTGATGATGGTTTGATGAACTTACAAGTTATAAGGCTGACCATTTGCGTTTGCTCGAGGATGATAAATCTTTAGTAATGAGCTGACGATAGCTCAATTACTTAAGGTATTGAGCTCGAGCATGGCCCCACAATCTGTTTTTGCAAGATTGACCTTGACGATATAGTGTAAATTTTAAAGTATCGAGCCTGAAGACTACACGAGCAATTAAATTTTTGGTAGTCTCAAGCTCGAGGACTAAATATTTAATTGATTCGGTAAATTGTGATCTTGAGCCTGAAGAGTATGAGTTTAATATTTGACACTGATCTCGAGCATCAAAACTTCCAAATCCTGAATTAACCTTTTTCGAATGGTCGTGCTCGGGTATTTTTGGGGGTGCCTGCATGTGGCAAGTTTTAAAGTGCATGATCGTGACAAGTCTTTTTTGAGCTCATGCCCGTAGCATGTCCAAGAGGTGCCTGCTCGCGAAGTGTCTTTTTCGAGCTCATGCCCGTAGCATGTCTCGGAGGTGCTTGCTCGTGATAGGTCTTTTTCGAGCTCATGCCCGTAGTTTATCTAGGAGGTGCCTGCTCGTGACAAGTTTTCGGGAAAAATACTTGGAAATTTTTTTTGTTGGGGCGTTCCCACTGGTTACTTCATATAAGTTTCCATATGATCTAGAACAAGTATAGTCTTGTAGGCCGTGATGAATGAATTAGCAAAAGAAAGTAAAAAATGTGTGACGCATGCAAGCCCGATGAGAAATTAAACTAACTATAAGCAAGAAAAAAAAAGCACGGGGCATGAAAGTCCAAGAAATAAAAGTAAACTTAACTAAATTAAAGAGACAAAGTGAGGATCACTACTTGTAATAAATCTTGAGGTTGTTAGAATTCCAAAGCCTAGGTAATGGCCTTCCGACATATCCCTCGAGCTGTATGCTCTTCCTCAGACTTGTCTGATGACTTCATAAGGTCCTTCCCATGCAGGGCCAAGCTTACTCAAGGCATGACCGTGGCCTAGGTCCTTCTGAGCACTAGGTCTCCAATTCTGAATCTTCTGGGTTTTACTTTGCTATTGAAGTATTTGGCCACCCTATTCTGATAGGAGGCCATCCTCAATGCAGCCTGTTCGCGTGTCTTCTCTAGGAGGTCGAGATGTTCAGTAGTTTCGCCGGCACTTTGCTCCAAACGCCTTAATGTTGGAAGGCTAACCTCAATTGGGATGGTGGCCTCTAACCCAAAAGCTAGTATGAATGGGGTTTCACCTATTGTTGTCTTGTACGAAGTCTAATAAGTCCACAATATAGAAGGTAACTCGTTAGGCCAGTTACCAGGAGCACACTGGATCCTCGTCCGGAGGTCTTGTAGTATGATCCGATTAGTAACCTCGGCCAAGCCATTGCTCTGAGGGTGTGAAACTGATGTTAGACGATGTCTGCCCCCAAGTTGGTGCAAAAATTCTTGAACTGTGCATTATCAAATTGTCTCCCATTATCAGTTATGAGAACTCAAGGTATCCCGAACCTACAAATGACAAAGACCTTAGCTTGGGCTCTGAGATTGTTGCCAGGGGTTCCGCCTCTGCCCATTTCGTTAAGTACTCTACGGCCACAACAACAAACTTTTACTATCCTCTTGCAAGTAGGAAGGGCCCGAGGATGTCAACTCTCCATTGTTGGAAAGGCGCCGAACTATGTATGGGTGTAAGCTCTTCAGTAGGATCATGAATGATGTTACCAAACCTTTGACACTTATTGCACTTTCTTACATATTCTGAGGCGTCTTTCTTCATGGTCAGCCAGTAATATCCATACCTTATGAGTTTGAAGGCCAGAGCTCTAGCTCCTTGATGATTCCCACATACTCCTTCGTGAACTTTTGCTAGAGCCTAAGGCATCTGAGATATAGAAGCGTAAAACTCTTGGTGAATAGGACTCCTTGGATCATGCAGTACCTTGGTGCTCTAGATCGAACACTTTTGGCTTCCTTTGGCTTTGGATCCTCGAGGTGGTTTCCATTAGTTATGAATTCAATTAGGGGGTCCCTTTATAAAGGCTCGTTGTCAATGTCCATGATACTCAATTCCTGACCTATGCTGGGCTCTGTCACCATCTTAATGTGAATTCTCTTGTCGAGTCCATCCATCCCCATAAAAACGAGACTTGACAATGCATCTGCCTTTCCATTATCAACTTGGGCAACTTTCAGAATTTCGCAACCCTTGAACCGCCTTCGAAGATCATGTGCCTTTAAGTAGTATAAGCCCATTCCTTGTAGGACTTGTTTTCCTTATTTTCAGGAGTGATTATTGGGGTGAGTGGTGGACTGTAACTAGGAGTCCAAACTTTCCTTATTTGAGGTGTTTCCTGGGGTAAACTCCTTCTGGACCTGAAATTCTTGAATAGAAGTGGTTTGGATAGGGCTAGAATTCTCTAGGGATGAGGACTAGTAATGCATGATCACGTAGTACTTTGGGGGTCAAGCTAAAGAGAAGTCCCGAGCTCATACATCTCGAGGACACCCAGAATGATTTTTCGAGCGTTTTACGTTTGTTGATTCTCGGGATTATCTCGAGGACTCATATGCCCCGAGCACTAAGTTTCTTAAGACTGAAAAATGGGAATCACGTACTGTCCTCGAGCTCCAGGTGCGCCATAATCCCACATCAACTAGTATTATTTATTTACAACATAGATAGCTTTGGATGTGTAAATTATTATTTTTATATAGCCTCGATAGGTTTACATTAAAATCAAATTAAAATTTTAAGTAAAAGTCAATTATAAATTATAAATATATATTTCATTAATTTTTATTAAAATTTATAGCCTTATCGAGTTCCATTATTTTGCTAAAATGCATTTTGAAACAGTGATTTGATAAATAACGTGTAGTTAAAAAATAAGAAAACAATTTGTAGTATCTTTCGAATTATAAATTTTTATAGGATTAGCTTTTATCCTCTGGTTTATAACTCCCGTTTGGACCCATTAAAATTATAATCAAATTTTCTATTTTCTTGACAATCAAACATTTTTCAATAAAATAATAATACATGTAAACTTTAAGCCTTTTTTCTTTTTAAACCACGTATTTTTTAAAAAATTTTATTCCAAAAATTATAATATCAAGTAATGGAAGCCAAATTGGACATAATTCGTTATTAAATCTTGCTACATATACTCTACATGTTGGTTTATCCGATCCCACCCTCTTCCTCACATGGGAGTCGGGTCACACGCATTTATTAATGTGAGACCCGACTTGAGGAGGTGGGTCGGGGAAACAAAAGTGTGCCCATAGTATACAAATATCATAATTCATTCCTCATTAGCTTACCTCTCTATCTGACGAATGCACACTCACCCAGAGGCCGGAGAGAGCAAGGCATCATTCGAAACTGGAATCATTCTTCAGAAACACAGAATTACCCAAACCATGCCAGATGTTCCACATGATCTGATCCGGCGGATTCAGATCTCGACCAGAAATGCTGCTGGACTATCCGGATACGACCCCAGAGACCCGACACTTCCCGCTCTCCCGTCTCTCTCGGCGACCATCGCATCTCTTGAACCTTCCCCGCCATATCTACGCTGCAGTCACTGCAAAGGGAGGCTCCTAAGAGGCTTACAGTCTTTCATTTGCGTCTACTGTGGCAATCCCCACCAAACCGACGTCGCTCCCGACCCCATTTGCTTTAATTCCACCATTGGGTATCAGTGGTTGCTCCAGTATCTCCAGCTCGATGGATCGGTATGATTTAATAATCACTTCCATTCTTATTCTTTAAGTTACTGTATGCTTACAAGATACAAAATTTGGGCGCAAGGTTCTACTTTTGTTGTTCTTGTAGTACATTTTTCGTTTCAACGTTTTTGGGCACATATTGGATTAGGGGAACGATTGGAATGGATAGGATTAGGAGGAATAGGATTGATTTGGTACACCGTATTGGATTAGGGGATATGATGTGTGTATGCCGACAACATTTTTCGTTTCAACGTTTTTGGGCACATATTGGATTAGGGGAACGATTGGAATGGATAGGATTAGGAGGAATAGGATTGATTTGGTACACCGTATTGGATTAGGGGATATGATGTGTGTATGCCGACATTGGCATCATGTTTTACAGATTCATACTCTGCAGTGTGTAACTATGAGTGCTTCATCGTCATTATTAACCCTTTTTTTGGTGCTTTGCTGTCATTTTTTGGTATATTTTCTGGTGTGTTCAGAATCATGCTATGACACACATTACTCTTAGATGTTTGTTCAAGTTTTTAAAGATGTGAGGGGGTATTGATGTATCCACATTGATTTTAATAGCGGTTTAGGAAACATTAGGTAGAACAAAGACATATATTTCCATGGAATGAATTCAAAAATGTGCTATTATTGTTTCTACTTGTACACAATCGTACATATAACTAAAGGCACAGTGGTACAAGTGTATTATCAGAGATGATCAAGGACATAGATCTGCTCAATTCCCGGTACAGCCCAATTCATTGCACAGGATATTCTAGCATTCGGTTACTTTGTTTTTTTATTGCTTTTCTTTGGTGGTTTTTTGCTCAACAAATCACCTGCATTTTCTTTTAGTCTTGTTATCCTTGCTACACGTGCTGGTCCTGGTTTGATTACCCATGTACTGGCTTGCATGATCTTTCCTTGCATTTTCTGGGTACACACTTTTGGACTGTATTTCACACTTTGGTTATATAATGAAAAATAGTCTCAGTTTTTATCATCTGAGTTAGAAATCCCAAAATCTCCTTTCTTCAAGTGAGATTAGGATGCGTTTAGGTCAAAGAATAAGAAATTGCAGGCCTGGGTTTTATATTGATTAGATAGGTTGAAAGTTACTTGTTATGTATGTATTAGTCTTCATTTAGTTTTTATCTTATTTGACAAGATAGTCATCAGTTCAGAGAATAGAGGTGGTAGATTGTTTTGTAATTTGAGAACCCGATGCTGATGTACGAGTTACACTTTGGATAAATGATCTATTCAATTACTAACTTGTAGTTTCTAGCTCCAAAAAGGAGAGAGGGGTAGGGGGAATGGATACTTCAGCTTAATATAAAGCATCGATTTTTTTTTTAAAGCTTCTGTATTTGCTGTAAAAATTCCTGTTGTTAAAAATATAGACACAAGAAAAGGACAGGTGGCGTTTTGCCAATTTTATTGTTTGCCATGTCGATCTCACCTACCACCACTGTATAATTCTATCCTTTAAAACCTAGTTCTTGTGGACATTCAGAATGTATAATTTACTCGTCATATCCCCACCTCAAAACCAATATGCCCACCCACACTGCCAAAGCAATGGACTAGGGTAATACTTGAGGACGATGCTAATTTTGCCGAGTTTTCATTTTAGTTCATGAGCTCCAAAGTAGAAAATTTGTTATGATCGATGGCCTTTAACACAGGTTTCTAATATGTTTTAATTTTCTAATCCTCCAACCCACCCTCCTTTGTTTCCATACGGATTTCAATAAATACTATCATCAATTTGCAGGAATTGATTGGACCGCTGATCGAAAAAAGTGAGTCAAATCGAGCACAAGGTTCTTCTAAAGGAGAAAGCCCCTTGTCTGATTCCTTAAACTATAGAATAGCATGGCAACCCGAGTCACATAAGCAAGACACTAGTGTTTCAGACAAGCAGCCAGAACAGAGTAAACAATCTTTGAATTTAACTGGAGCTGATCTGGACAATTTCTTTTCTGAGCCAAAGAGGGATGTTTCTGATAGATCTTTTGAACAGCCAGTAACTATTAACCAGGTCAAGACTTCACAGTTAGAAGTTGAAGATCCTGACAACCTAAATTTATTTCAGAATGTTCAGCCATCTGATCCAGCTGTTAATGTTGATGCATTTTCTGGATGGGAGGCAGAGTTTCAGCCAACTGCTTCTGAAAATAAACATGGTGGTTCCAATACATCTGACCTTTTTGTAAGTTCCTCCGTGGATTCTGCAGAGAAATTCCAGGATGCCAAATCATTTTACGCTTTGGGATCCAAGGATGATATTTCTGCCCACATGGAATCTATGTTGGGACCTGGATCCAATCTAAATGATGGAAAGTCAAAAGATAATTCAGCAGATTCTCCTGCATTTGGTGATTGGAATTCAAATGACCTGCGGAACAATGTGAGCTCCAATGAGTCCCAGCTAGCTGAGGGTTTCGATTCCACTTTTGGGGCTAAGGATGATAATATATTAGAAAATTCGAACTATTCTTCTACTAATGTTGACATGTTTCAAGATGATAAATGGAAAACCAACCAAATGGATGAACCCGAGAATATCATAGTAAGCAGAGATGATGATGATTCCTTTGAGGAATGGGATGATTTTACAGGCTCGAATAGCATACAGGATCCTTCTAAAAATGCTTTGACACAAACTGATAATCAAGTTTTGGCTTCTCTTGGAAAGCCTTCAGAGATAAATTTGTTCAGTTCAAACAATAAATTTGAAGAAATGAGTTTTGGTAGCTTTTTACAACCTGATCTCTTTTCTGGCTCACCAAGCAATCCGAAAGAAAACACTATTTTGCAAGAAGTTCCTGCTTCAGAGAGGTACGTATATACTTTGCTGAGAAAGGTCCTTGATTAAGTTCATATGGTCAATTACTGTCTATTTGACCAGAAAATGTTTATCAATTACAAATTTGTCTAACTAATAATTATCATCCCCTTGTATTGGATTATTCATGCTGGCTTGTATTTCTTCTCCATAAAGCCAAAGTGAGGTGTTTTTATATCTCCTTGACAACTGAATTAGAGCCCAGGTAATGGTATGTGTTAATGGAGGGAAGTAACATATAAAATAATCTTCACAGTGATGAAGCTGGAAGGATCATTTTCAATTTGCTTCTTCAGAATCTAGGTTAGGAGAGACATGACCACTCTTTTTCTTTGACATCTTAAAAGTAATGGCTTCTGACAGTCATTTCTCTGTATTCATATACCTACAAGATCAAGTTAAGAAATGAAGAGAAGAAAATTATGTGAAGCTGAGGCAGATAAGTGATGTAGAGCTTCAAAAGGGAGCTGTGGATAGGCGCATGACCTAGAAAGAAGAAAAATAAAGCTAAAATGATGATCGTTTGACCGTTCAGATTTTAAATTTACACAGCATGTCTGTCTTTCCATCATCAGCCTCTATTTCTTCTTTGAATTGCCCGCACTAGTCCACTGTACAGAGGGAAATATTCTTTATTACTTGTTCTTTCTTGATAATTCTGAGATGATGAAGTGAGTACAAGGGCGAGAAGTATTAGAAATACTTCGTATCATTTCACTTTCTATTTTTTTCTTTTGAAAGACCTACTTTTGCTCTAAGATGTCAAATTTATCTTTATTATTAGAAAAGTTCTTCGTCGACAACCTTGACTTCTCCCTTCTACCGTACCTTTGACCCCCACTCTGCAATCCACCAGTCCTCAGAACCTTCAGCCACCACACACCACAGAACCCGCCTAGGTTGCCGCAACTCAACCACAAGCAATAGGAATGGAAAAAAAGCCGGGTTAAATTGAAAATAATAATTAAAAAAAAAAAAAAAGGTTCTGCTCTGTGCTTGGGAGCTCAGACGATCCTGAACAGTTGGGGAAATGAGGGGAAGGGGTATCATTTCTGGATGAAAAAATTTCCAAATAGTGGTACTGGTATTTGGCAGGCATGAGTTTGCCATTTAACTTTTTTTCTCAAAAACTAATTGAATATGTAAGAGTTTGTGCACTAAAAAGTTTGTCCATTTGACTACAAAAGTATAATGATGTCATTCATGTGTTGACGAACTTTTGTGATTGTTGTTACTAACATTTATATTGAAGTTAAGTCTTTTGCACATCGGAACATTTCTGCAGAAAATTTGTCCTTAACTTCTTCGACCATTGTTCTCTAGATACAGAAGATTCAGTTTATTTTATGCATTTTCTAAAAACTTTATTTAAATTTATATGAATAAAAATTGTTTAATGCTGAATGTCACCATTTCTTTTGTTAATATTCTTGCAATATGTAGAAGATGAAGATTTGATGTTTGTTTCTCTTAGCTGGTTTCTAATTTAATTTTCCTGATAAGGAAAACATACAACCCGTGTCATGATAGTGCAATAGCAAAATTTATAATTGATATTTAATATCTAGAGTAGTATTTTCCAGCCTATGATAACCATTCTCATTGTTTCTCATATCTCTACCATTTGCTTTGGCAATCTAGTCTGATCTGGTGTTTATGTCCACTAGAATTTTTGCAGTTTAAAGATGTATATTTGACGTTAATATAGTTATGGTTGTGAGTGCCAACAATAACTTGGTGATTTGAGATGGTCTTATATAGAGATCTACAGTTGTAGTGTCATTCTTTTATTCGTACAGAGTTTAAAAAAAATAAAAATAAAAAATCACTTAATTCAGGGCTAGATTTCTTGGTTTTAATATGGCTTAAAGTTTTACGTGATACTTGAAAAAAACATTGTACTTTTTTCCATCTTTACTCTTTTAAATTAGTGGGCAGATTTTCTGCCAATCATTTGATATAGTCAAAAAAAGATACTTCTTGAATAAAAATGCCCGTTTCCGGAAAGACGGCACTTTCTGCATTCCCATAAGTAAATGAGGTCAATCAATTCTGCATGAAATTATACTGCTAGCAAGGAAAATGCACATAAGAGATTTCTTTTAAGTTTGCCTGTTTCCGGAAAGATGGCACTTTCTGCATTCCCATAAGTAAATGAGGTCAATCAATTCTGCATGAAATTATACTGCTAGCAATGAAAATGCACATAAGAGATTTCTTTTAAGTTTTAAATTAATACACTTGTATTTGAATTAAAATTACCAAACTTTTCCAACACATTAGAATTTTGAATTTCTAGTGACATGTCGTGTAACTGTGGGAATATATACTACTCTTAAACGTTTAAATTGATTGAACATGGACAGCTTATAACTAAATAAATTAAATTCATCACTCTTTAGCCGCTCTTATATTTGCTTGATAATATAATTCTCACTGTATCATATTCGCTCCTATTCTTGGAAATAGAAATTGTTAGTTGCCCAAGAAACAAGTATCTCTTGTAAACACCCACACCCCTCACAAAGCCTGTGCTGCTATAACTTTCCTTGAGGCAGGGACGGATCCAAGATGAGATTACAAGCCGGGCTAATACATAAAAAAAAAAAAA